CACAGCAGTGGAGTGGAATTAGGACTGATGAGGGAAACACGTAGAGTTGCTCGATGCTGCTGCTGCAAGAAGTTTTCCAACTCGGGAAGCCGGAAAATTTCAAAAACTCCTTGAAAAGCCACAAACCGGCTTCCAGTAGCTGATGGATGCTGTTAAAGTCTCTGTGATGTGTGGAGCAACAGAGGCCGTGACTGAACGATTACTTATCGATGACTAGTCTGGGTTTAGTCGGTGCTACTCAATCAGAAATGACAGCCGACTGTGTGCAACATTAGATTAGATTCTTTATTGTCTCCACACAGTGAGATTCAGGTGCGTTAATGCAAAATAGACAAATGATAAAATAAACAGTAAAAATCCATTTTTGTAGATTTTCTAAAAACTTGTTTTTTTTGTTGTTTGCTTGAGATGAAATCAATCAAACTGAAGCTGAGTGGATGTGACTCAGTAGAAATGACAGAAGTAGAGAGTAAGTTTGATTGATGTTGTCTCAGGTAGATGATGGAGCAGTGGCTTTTCTGAAGGTTTGAGAAGATGGAGTTCTCTGTTTTTGCAAATGAACTCTTTAAATATAAAATAAACAGCAAAAATCCAATAAAAATACAAACCCGTCCCCAATAAGTCAGTGGAACAACGAAATGCATCAAAAAAGTCCTCTTATTCATAATAGTTGTAGATATTTGTTAGCCTATTTTATTTTTTAATTATTATTTTTCTTAATAATTTTTTATATTATTGTGATTTTTTTCTTTCTTTCTATAGTTATTTTACTTTATTTTTTATTTTCCTGGTGCTCATTCCCAGGGCGACTCCAACAGCCCAAACCTAATTCCTTATATGTTGTGTACGTACTTCGCCATTAAAGCTGATTCTGATTCTGATAAATGGTTGTAAAATGTCAGGAATTATAAAAACTCGCAAATTAGAAGTCAACAAAAAACAAAACATGGAGAATATTTGGAAGTTTAAAAAGTGTAAGTTTCATGAAATGAACAAAATAAAATGCAAACTGGACGTAGAAATCTCATTTATGTTGGGTTTTATCAAGAAGAAAATGAAAAACAGGTGGTAAGTGTTTGTCTCCGCCTTGAATTGAGAAAGAATTCAAAATCCTCTATGGAAGAAGTGAAAGTGTTTTCCTTTAATAGACGCTACCCAGTTATTTATTTACCTAGAGTTCTTTCGAGCAACTTTTTTTGTTGTTGTTTTTGTGTCGTAGTTTGCTTCATACAAACGGGGGGATGCTAGCGGTGTGTAAAGACTCCTTCATTTGATGGTTAATAGGAAAATAAATCACATCTATGTTTGTTCTTCTAACCCGTAGATATGTACGACTTCCCTAAAGGGGTCAAAGGTGGACGGAGGTTTGCGATGTGGGTCACAAGTCAAAGATGCTGGAAACCGCTTCTCTCAAAGATGTGATTGTGGCTGCTTTGCGTAACACAGACTCTCCCAAGAGGAGAACTTTTACTGCCTTTCGCTGTCACGCTTTCACTTGCTCAAAGTTATTTCAACAGTTTGCCGTCCGCCTCGCCACCGCCGGCCTCGCAACTGTACAAACACCATCGCGTTGTTACCGTCGAACCTCGGAATGAGAACCAACCGCTGGCGACCTCAGACCCCATACGGAGGCTGCTGGGAAAACACGGAGAGTTTGTGAAAACAAAAGTCCGCAATCATTCGAAGGGGTTTTTATTTTTTTTTGTGTGTGTCCCACGAGGCTCCTCCCCCTCCCCCTCCAGACCGCACCAGGCCCCGCCCCCCTCCCCCCTTCGCTGCAGCCTCGGCGGTTGGGGTTGGCTAATTAGAGGGTTGCCACGGGAACGGAATGGCAGCTAAGCCAACGGGTGTAATGACAGGGTGAGGGAGGAGGGCGGGGTCAGATTATAGGCCCGGGAGTGCGCTGAGGGGAGCTCAAAAAAGAAAAGGAAGAAGTGGAGAGGGGGGGGAAGAGAATGTGAGCGAGAATATGGAACATGAAAGGAGGCGACGGAGGGCACCAAGCCGGAGCTCAGGGGGTAAATAAAGAGGATGGGTGAGAGCAGGTCTGAGATAAAAGTGGAAGATTTTGTTTTTTTCTGAGCATGTATTTAAGAGCTGGGGAATGACTAAGCATGTAACTCGGTGGTTTCCACATGGATGTTTGGTTACTCTGGCATGAGCTCCCTTTCTGACAGAAAAAAGGTGTCTCTCAGCTCACATTGGAAAGACTGGGGCCTGCGGTCGCCATGGCAGCAAACAGGAAACGGTGTGCAGAGTTTTTATGCAGCCGAGCCCGGTCACCCTGACAGTTCCCCTCTCTCCTCCTGTGTGGCCGCTCCATTCTTCAAAAGACAAACATCCAGCTGGACCACGGCTAAAAGTGGACAAAAGGAGCTCAGAGAACTCTCGGCGTATTTCAGCCTCTCGGTTTTTCGGGACTTTTCACCACATTTTGTGAAGGCTGCAACAATCCGAGCAGTGTCATCATATCAGCTTACGCTTGGCAAAACCATAACTGCCCCGGACCGCAGCGAAATGAGTCCCAGTTCGCCTCACATTCACACAGCAATTATAATGCTCCTCTTTTGTCCAGCTTGTGTTGATTCTACCTCAGATTAAACCCAGCCCTCGGTGCGTCAGCTCCCCCCCCCGTAACACGCTTTCTGCTGGCTGAAAATTTACAGACCTATAAAATCATAATGTTTAGCCCCTACTGGTATACATTTGGCATTCCGCTCGAGTCAAAAATGACTCACTGGTATTTCAAACAGAGGTGATTCACTCATTCCTCACTTCTGCAACAGGCTTCTCTGGCATTGTTTTAGCCAGCTAATGCTGTTGCCAATACTGCCTTTGACGCATACTTTCTGCTGCACAGAACAGAACCAGGACTCTCTCTGCGGTCGCTCAGTCGATGTTTGCAATCGTTCGGCTGCGAATGTGTGACTTTGCTTTCTGTGGATAAATGTGTCAAACTGGAACCCGTCATGTTTTCCGTCTCTATTTTACTTTAAATGCCGTTCGGAGACAGTGTGGCTTGTTGGAAAAGTGGCATTAACCGCCGACCAAACTCTGGTGAGAATGCTAATAACAGTGACTACGCTGCCACCCACTTAGTCATACTGTTTGTACAGTTTAGCTGGAAGAAGGAATGGATAAAAAAAATGCAGCCGTACTAGCAGCTCAATCAGGCTTTGCACTAAATGTCACTCCGGTGGGCTGCAGAACGGGGCCTCCGTGGATCAGGCTCCCACTGTATTGACATCTGAGGAGTTTTAGAAGCCGGGTGCTCTTGGTCATGTTCCTCCATCCCTTCCTGAGCAGTTTCCTCCATGTAGCAGGACACATGATGATTTCATAAACACATGTCACGGTTCCAGGGGGATATCAAAGCTGTCCTGAGGGGAACATGTCTGCAAATGGAACAAGGAAGTGTTGCAGCAATGGCTAGTTTGGGAAAAAGTGTTCAAATCCTTTACTTGATTAGAAATACCATTGCAGCAACATAAAATTACTCTATTACAAGTTAAAGTCATGAACAAAAACCCTGCTTAAGTAGAATTACAGTATTGGCATCAAAGTGTAGCTGAAGTGTTAAAGTCCTGCTCTGGTCCCACTGACTGATATATGATTTTATATCTGACATTATGAATACAGATGCATCAGTGTGTCGGCAGCATGTGAGCCGGTTTGAACCAGTTTTGTTAAAGATCACCACATGATTAATGAGAGAGGAAAGAAAAAGCAAAGTTCTGATGCACGTGCATGTTTTCAGTTTCTGGATTTCACTCTAATTTTTGTAATCAGATATTGAATCAGGGCTGCGAGGTGGAGCGGTGGTTAGCGCCGTCGCCTCGCAGCTAGAAGGTCGCCGGTGAGGACACCCGGGATCTTCCTGCGTGGAGTCTCCATGTTCTCCCCGTGCAGCGTGGGTTCTCTCTAGGTTCTCCGGCTTCCTCCCACAGTCCAGAAACATGCTGAGGTTAATTGGTGATTGTAAATTGTCCGTAGGTGTGAATGTGAGTGTGCTTGGTTGTCTGTCTCTAAGTGTAGCCCTGTGATAGACTGGTTACCTGTCCAGGTGAACCTGCCTTCACCCTGAGTCAGCTGGGATAGACTCCAGCCCCCCATGACCCTAGTGAGGATTAAGGTGTAGAGATAATGAATGGATGAAATGAAGCCATGTGAGGAGATTAGTAAGAAAAATCACTATTCGGTTGAGACATCTGGAACGTGACCTCGACTTTGTTTAATTTTTAACAATATGTTGTGATTGTGTAAAATGTTTGTCTTTAAAGTGACTGAAGCTGTTAAATGTAGTGGAGTAGAAAGTACAATAATCCCTCCTGAAATGTGAAAAGTGCAATTCTACCTCAGATTTGCTCTTAATTGCAGCACTTGAATGAACGTAGTGAATGTACGTGCAGTCGTATTCATAGCCTCCCATTAAAGAAGAAAAATAAAACGGCTTCAGTCACTGAAATAAGTTGACAAAAGTAATGAGAAATTCAAATTTGATGAAAATTATGATGTTGCTTTTGAATTGTTGTTCAACAGAAATATTAAAAAACCAAGCAAACCAGCATGATGGGACTAATATCTAGTTGAACAACCCTTTCAGCCAATCAGGTGTTTCCTGTAACTCTCAGACTTCTGCACCTGTTGACAGGTATTCTGGCCCACTGTTCATCAGCAAAGTGCTCTCATTTGTTTTTTTAAATCATTCTTTTCAACCACAATTCAGAAGCAACATCTTATTTCCCTAAATTATAATTTAACAAATTTTTATTTATTATTACTTTTTCCAGTTTCTAGTTATTTGAGTGACTGTTGTGAATTTTGCCTTTTCTTTAATGGGAGGGTGTGAATACATTGGAGGACGACTGTAGTTACTTTCCACCACCGGCACCGACGTAGACGCTGACATCCATCGGCAGAGCCACGCTGTCGTTGCTGAATGTGTTCGTCATTCATTTGCTCTTTAAAGTTCTGACACTCTTCCCTCTTGTCCCCCGCAGGTATCAGTATTACCTGCAGGTAAAGAAGGAGGTGTTGGATGGACGTCTCCACTGCACCGTGGAGCAGGGCATCAGACTGGCTGGCCTCGCAGTACAAGGTGAGACGCACACACGAACAAACACCTCATGTGAATAATCTACCAGACGGACACAGACGGAGAAGGAGCGAGCACAAACTCACACTTTCTCAGGTCATCTTGACTTCACTGCCTTATATGGCTGCATACCGCAGGGAGAGCCCAGTCCACTTGAGTTCCTATGGTATCAGTCCTAACACACACACACACACACACACACACACACACACACACACACACACACACACGCACAGCCTCACTCCATCTTCTTGTTCCTGGGTGCTGTCTGTGTCCCAGAGGGAATGTAAACACACAGCTTATCACCAGCTCCAAGGTTGGCCTCAGCAGCATCAGGAAGAGCCTTATCTGTTGTTCGGAGGCGAGGATCCTCCGCCGGGCCTCCTTTTGTCCCGCAAACAGCACAGCGGCACTTAAGTAGCTCCATGTGGGACGCTGAGCATGTTGCGGAGATGGTGTGCAGGCGGGGAGGCTGTCGCTTTACTGTACACATCACGTTTTAATATTTAACAGTAAAGTACACAATTTCCTGCAAAGTTTATAGCAAATGAGAATTTAAAAAATCTATTTATTTAACCCTCGGAACCTTCTGAAAGCCCTCCGGCGAGCGTGGAAGGCATTTTATATTTTAAAACAATGCTAAAGTGACACCATTCATCAGAGCCAGAAGCTGCAAAACACCAGATGTTCAACTTTCCGACGGTCTTTGAACTATCGACGTGTGACATGTCGGGAAATGTGTCCAAATCTCAGCTTAAATTTGTGCTAGTTCATCAAAATGACCACATTCTTCTTTAAAATAAAATGACAGAAATAAATGGTTTGCACCAGCAGGATTGTGTAGAAGTTCTTCTCTCCTCAGTGACTCAACTCTGAGTAATGCTTCAGTGAAAAAAACTCAGGGACGTTTCAGCTGAACTGCAGACGAGTATGAGAACACGTTAAACAGTTAGTAGGTAGAGTCCCCATTTCCATGTCCAGCATGTCTAACCCCTGTGGGAATGTGGAAGATGCTGCACATGTCCATGCACCTTTTTCAGTTCTTTGAAAATATATAGTCTCAGAATGTTTTTTAATGATTTGTGGCGTTATAAGTCTGTCATGCTGCTGCTGCTTCTAGCCATACTGGTGCCATTTCCATAGAGGGAGAACACTTTGCAATTACAGCTGAGCCTACAACATGGACGGATGTGACAAGAGCAAAAAGAAATCCAGAAACCGTGTTGAGTGCAGAAGGTTTTGAAACACTGACACGGACCCTTCTGGCTCTCTTGACATTTTCATCTTTAACTGTGCAGCTTCAATTCAATGGTTACACGAAATCACCTTCAATTCATTGCAGTGTTAAAATAACCATTTCATGTTTAAACACTGAATCACCAGATGACAGCATTTCTTACCGTAGAGTCATTTATGTTGCTCACACCAGACCAGTGATCTTTGTTAGCAGCTGCTTCTGGGATCTCAATCCTTGGCTTCACTTCATAATATGACTGAACTTTCTATGTAAAGTGGCCTGAGGTGACTCATGCTGTGACTAGTTGTACATAAATGAAGTTGAAAATTGAACTGAACTGTTGTTATTCTTCTTATATACTGTCGTACTGTAACGTCTGGTAATTAATTTGATCGTTCAGCGAAGGCCAACAATTTTTAAATAACGAATTTAACGAACGAATAACCGTGCAGCGTGGGTTCTCTCCGGGTTCTCCGGCTTCCTCCAGAAACATGCTGAGGTTAATTGGTGATTGTAAATTGTCCGTAGGTGTGAATGTGAGTGTGCTTGGTTGTCTGTCTCTAAGTGTAGCCCTGT